TTCAAATGTTTAGTTTTTAACTGTGTGTGACAAAGCTAAGACAGCCTACCATTCCAATAAAAAAGGCGGGGAGTGGGAGGGACAGGTTTAACACACCATTAATTTATGCTACTGAGTTTTTCTAGCGAAAGACAGCAAAGCCAATACAAAATTTAAGGACAGAGGAAAAGTCAGATTTCAGCCTCTGGCACCTCTCTAAAGGCAAACCTTGTGCTTCCGTGCCCTGCCATCTGGAAAGCTTACCTCCTTCTAGCTGAGAATACAACAGTCATTAAGAATCTCTGTCCCTGACAAGCCCACACCTGGAACATGCATCATGCCTACCTGGCAATACAGGGGCCATGAAAAGCGAGAAAAAAGCATGCCTTGCGAGAGAGACTGTTGAAAAGGAGCCCCCTGCCCCAGTCTCCCAAAAAAGTACTGATCACATTAACTACACCCAAGGAACCAGAGGGAAATAACTGAGGATCGCAGAGAATCTACTCGAGCTCAGAGTAAGAAGCATGCAACCTTCCTCAAATCACGTGCGCTTCACTCAAACTTTTTCCCTCACACAGGTCTTCTCTGCTAATAGGACTGGTCTTCAGCGTCTCTCTGAGTTCCTCTCTCTTATCTGAGTTGCTCAAGCTAGTTTTAGTCTTTCCCAACAGGATCCAGTTGGAAAATATAAAGCCTTTGGAATGCAGCCGCACAGGAAAGAAGGCATATACAGAAACAGGAGATTTAGGAGAAGCCCTCCTGGTGTAGATTTAGAGACAAAAGCGCCAGACTGCCACCAGCAGCAGGATGCCTAGCAGAGCTGTTTTCCCTGATATACTCGTCCCATCACTTTTGTTACACAGGTTCTCCTGGCAGCAGCGGTACTGAAGCTCCTTCTCCCCTAAGGATTTTGCAATGGCTTCGAAACTGCAGCGGTCAAACATCCAACACTGGTAGTAAGTTTTTGGTGGCATGGCTTCAACGATGAAACAAGTATCTTGACTATGTGAACAACTGACGACCGTAGTGCAGCCATTAGCTGGGTTAATACAGCTGTAGCACTCCAGGCTGTGACCTACATGGCAGAGGACAGCCAGGATGAACAGGAGCCCAAGCGGGACGAACCCTCCTTTGCTTCCCATTGTGACCAGCTACAGATTCTTATGGTTCCTGTCATCCGCTTCAGTGTGGCTACTCCTGCTACTGTACTATTTTAAAAGTATGGCTAGATCTGCATAATATATGGATGGAAAAAACCACCAAGATACACTGTTAGATTTAAAAAGAAAAAGGAAGGTAGGACACTAAACAATGTGTATATTATGTTTCTGTTTGTATATAGTAAAACCCCAGAAAATGTGTTTATATACACAGATAATTTCTGGAAACATTAAGAAATTGTTAAAAATGGATACCTTTGGGAATGGGAGTGAGGATTTTGGGGTAGGAGGAAGACTTACTTTTCATTGGAAATACTCTTGTATTGCTTCAAAACTTAAAATCACGTAATATATCTTTGGAATTATATTTGGAATTATATGAAGCAAAAGCTACTTGAAAAAGCAAGCATTTTACATACCTCAGCTGTTCTTCTGATTAGAGCATAATGTTTGTGATAATCATACTTTGCTATCAGAAAGATCAAATTATGTTTTATAAAACAAATCAACTAATCATATGAAACATTTACAAAGGTGGTTATGTTGAAAAAGAATTCAGTATGTAAATGACAAAACGTCATTAGGAAAAATCCATGCATTTAGCATAGCTGGTATGTACTTCACCGTGTCATACCACTATGCAAAGATGTTCCTGACACCTCCTCTGTACCATGACATGCTTTCAGGACTTTGCCTAGTAAAGGTGGCTATTTGCCTTGTCATCCTGAAACCGTGTAAATCCGACTGGGACTTGAACCCACACACTGGGACTTGAACCCATGCTCTTTTAACTGAGATCACACACCTGGTCTCAGGACTTAATGAAGCTCAGGTTCTTGATGTCTCATCGCAGAAAGAATTCAGTGAGAGACAAAGTGACAGGTAAGAAGTGGATTTATTTAGAGAGAAACACACTCCACAGACAGAGTGTGTGCCATCTCAGAAGGCAAGAGCAGCCCCAGGGTATGGGTTTTTTTTTATAGGGATGGGTAATTTCACAGGCTACTAAGTGGGAGGAGTATTCCAACTATTTTGGGGAAGGGGTGGGGATTTCGAGGAATTGGGTCACCACCCACTCTTTGACCTTATGGTCAGACTTGGAACTGTCATGGCTCCTGTGGGTGTGTCATTTAGCTTGCTGATGTGTTACAATGAACATATACTGAGGCTCAAGGTCTAGTGGAAGTCGACTCATCCATCTGCCATCTTGCACCTACTTGGTTCTAATCAGTTTATGTTGTGTCCTCAAACTAAGTCATTCTTTTTTTTTTTTTTTTTTTTGCGGTATGCAGGCCTCTCACTGTTGTGGCCTCTCCCGCTGCGGAGCACAGGCTCCGGACGCGCAGGCTCAGTGGCCATGGCTCACGGGCCTAGCCGCTCCGCGGCATGTGGGATCTTCCCAGACCAGGGCACGAACCCGTGTCCCCTGCATCGGCAGGCAGACTCTCAACCACTGCGCCACCAGGGAAGCCCTAGGTCATTCTTTTAAGGGTGGTGCCCCGCCCCCTTCCCTCCTGTTTCAATCGTGTAAGCAGATAAGTTATGGAGTCCCCAGAGAAAGAGAACCAGGAATGGCTTTCTTGACATAAGAGAAGCCATTTTGGCCTAAACCGTTGTGTGATCTCAGGTGGGCAGGGTCAGGATGTTTCCCTGTGAGCTGAACAAAGTCACTTTAGTTTAACATTCAGGCAGAGTGGCAGCGTTCCCCAAGGCATGCTTATAGCTATAGACAGTATCCTTTTGGTGATTATAGTAACAAAAGCAACGGAAAACAAAGGTTAAAGTAAAAGAAACAGATCCAACATGGGGTCAGATTTTGTTCTTCTCCGTTACAAAAGGTCAAAAGGAGAGAGGAGACGCCAGTCCATTGTCCTACCAACCTCCTAGAATCCTTCTTGCTGAAATCCATCTTGAGCCATGCGTATGCCATCAGGAAGGACCTTGAGTCAGAGTGATTGGCCAGAGACAACCTGGAACTAACCCCATTACCATAAAACCTGAGTCTGCGAGCCACGTGGCAGAGCAGTTCTCATGGGCTCCCTTACCCTGCTGCTCTCTGCCTGGGTGCCCCTTCCCAGGAAAGTCTCTTGCTTGTCAGCATGTGTGTCTCCTGGGACAATTCATTTTTGAGTGTTAGACAAGTGCTCACTCTTGGGCCCTGGAAGGGGTCCCTCTTCCTTCAACGAATGGAGTCTTGAACTATTTTAGGATCACAACCCTAAAAGCAGGATAGACGCAGCCACAGCCATAGCCTGAAGTGCTTGGTGGGTTTTAGGAAGACAATGTACCGGGAATCTTGGAGCTAAGCATTCCTCAGCTGGCAAGCCATAACATATGTAATTTCTGTTTAAGAAGAAACTGAGTTTTACAAAAGTGAAATGAGGTGGGGAAAGGCACAAATATTGAGAACCAATCAGTCCTTCTCAGCATTGCCTCATGCCTTCTCCATGCATCCTTATTAAAGCCAGATGCACATTTAATTTTAGAAAAGTCTAAATAGGTGTGTGTTTTATTTTTCTGTTTTCTACTGGAGTAATGTTGTAAGCTTAGAAATGCTCTATATCTAGCATCTGAAATTTACAGCTCTTCTGTTTTAAGTAAACATCAGGTACTTAGCTAATTAAATGTAATGCTTGTAGGATCCTGTTTATAGGAAAGTGTCAACTTTCAGGATGTTGTGTATAAGTCTTGATAAAATTATGTAGAAAATAACAGCGTACTCTTGTTTCATAGGCTGACCTTGCAGTCAACACCACCTGGAAATGGCTCAAAACAAAAAATGATCGGAGGGCTGAAACAAGATAAGATCAAATTGATGTCATGGTAATTACACAAAGTACCATTCAATCATTGGATGGAATTTACTGTTGATCCCTGGACTTAGATGCAGGTGGGAACATGCAGTTTTTATTACTCTGCTGGTATATAAGACAGGTGAGGACTTTATTAAGAGCAGTTACTGAGAAATCACAAGACGAAGCTAAAATCCCTCTTCAGATCCACAGTCAACTGCCCTGACCACATCCTGCAAAAAATCCAGAGGAAGGTAATATGAATGAAATAATTTGGGGGATTTTAATTGAGTAAAATATTTGAGAATACAAGGGAGCTGGTTGTGCATAAACCTTAGTAAGAAGACAGGCATTTACACATTCTCTTTTCAGCACTCATGATTGAATTGGGAGGAAGTCTGCAAAATTGTGGTCTGTGATCACAGGCTAAGATGTTATCTAACTGAAGCCAGAAACCAACTGTCTCCTGCTGTGATGTGTGAGTGCCTGTCAGTAACTATAAAGTTTTCTCAAGAAATATTGGATGTCATTTGAAAGGCATTCTTTGGAGTGGCTTCCAGGGGTCAGGAAGAGGAGGGAGGAGACATGTAAGTTACTGGTATTGTTTTGTCATCAGTTTTTAAATGACACATAACTACATCTTCAAACTGGTCAATGGTAAAGCAGCTCACCTGTTCAGCGGAATGACCATAGCTTCTGATATTTTTTGAATAGACCCTCTTGGGTAGACTTGAATTGTAACACTGAAATGTCTTGAACAACATTGTTTCCTTTTTCTTCTTTCATAGAATGCCACAAAAATAAGAGTCGGTAGTATTTCTCACTATTACTGATGGACCTTGCAATTCTACATCACTTGGCTAAGTCTAATTGGTTTGTTCCACAGAGAGTTTCTAGAAATGTTTGCTAACTTTAGTTATATTTGCGTCAGTGCTGCTTGGAATGGCAGCTGGTTAGGAAATTAGGACTAGAAAATAAAAGTGCTCCTTTGTCCCTCCTTATTAATGTTGAGGATACAAGATTTGGGTACATGGAAGAATTATGAACTGACACTACATGGGTCCTCAGGAATACTGAAGCTCCATTTCACTTTCGTGGGAACTATTGTTTCCTAAGCTCTACAATCTTCTCCTCAATCAAAAAAGAAGATGTTTTATATTAGAACAGAGGAATATTCTTAAGTTTCTGAAGATATCTTTTAAATAATTACTTAACACCAACTCAATTAGTCAAAATATTGGTCACCCAAATTGATTGTAATACTTTGCTATAGTTTTGAATTATTTTTAAATGATAAGAATAACCAGCATTTATGAAAAGTTTATGTGTCTTCGTTTCATTTCTTTAACTTTGGTTTTGGTTTCTTTTCTTTCTTTTTTTTTTTTTGCAGTAACAGGGTCGTTGAAATTTTGAGTCATATTTCTCACCATTTCTTGCTGAAAAAGGTAGCATGTGAAGTGTTAGAAAAGCAATTTATTATATTCCAGAACAGCTTCTCAGTTTCCTTGTACATTTCTCAAATTTACATGAAAACTCAAAGTAAGAGCTAGGAAACAGAAATAGTAAAATTAGAACGTAATATGTGCATTTTGTTCAAAAGTAGATCAAGATAATCAGCTTTCACAAAGAGAAAATGTACAGGAACCAGCTGATATTTCCATTGAGAACAGCATGACCTATAGCACCATACTTCCATTTTTATAGATTGTGAATCCCAGAGTAGTTTGCTATCAACTTATGATCCTTGCAAATCCTGGTTTTGGTGTGTAACATTTCAGCATTCCCCATCATAATGTTGCACAAAATAATCCAGTAATTTCTTGATTCATCAGACTCAGAGATGACATTATAGAAATGCTCTAGCATCCGCTGTGCACTGGGGTAGGAGGAGGAGAGAGAGAAGAGGGCGCTTAGGCCAGAGCGGGAGCAGAATCAAGGGCAATATTATGAATTGAATTTGAAAAGACAACAGTAACAACATGATCCATGTTTAAATCAACGCCCTAAAGAGAATGGATGAACTGTGTGTTTCTAGGCTATAAAGGTAGTATAGGTGAAAGGATACTATCTTAGGATCAGACCACTTTCCAGTTGACTTTGGCAAATCCTTTTACCTCTCTCAAGTGTAGTTTTCTAGTCTACGAGATAGGTGACATAGTAGTGCTTTCCCCAAAGAAGTGTAAAGAGAATCAAACAAGGGAAATGGATATGAAAGCCAGTGCTTGGCCCCTGCCAGTCACTCCCCGCCAATCAGACACTAGTCCTCATGCCTTGGTCAGGTGTAAATGCCTCTTTATATGAATGAAATGTCTTTCTTAAGGCTGTTCTGAAGAAGGTGAAGTCAGATAAATATGCAAAATAAAAAATTACACGAGCAAGTTATATTTGAGTTGGTATAACATAATATTACTCTAAAAAAAAAAAGATGTCAGCATTCTATTTAGGGATATACCACCTGAAAAAAAAAAAACATTTAAGAAGTTCATTGTGAAATATAAAGTTTTGAAGGCAGTGTAGTAAAATGCGGTTCAGAGCTTGGAGTTGTAAAGAGACATTCTAAAATCTTAGGCCTGGGCTTCCCTGGTGGCGCAGTGGTTGAGAGTCCGCCTGCCGATGCAGGGGACACGGATTCGTGCCCCGGTCCGGGAGGATCCCATATGCCGCGGAGTGGCTGAGCCCGTGAGCCATGGCCGCTGAGCCTGCGCGTCCGGAGCCTGTGCTCCGCAATGGGAGAGCCCGCAGAAGTGAGAGGCCCGCGTACCGAAAAAAAAAAAAAAAAAAAAAGATAAAATCTTAGGTCTGCCAGTGGTGAATTTTGTGACTTTGTATAGGTTACTTCGCCTCTGGAATTCTTTTATCTGCCAAAATGAGAAGAATACCTCACAGGGTTGTCATGAGTATTGAATATATTTATGTGTTCAAGGTGCTCAAAAGAATACCTAGCACACACAAGTGCTCAATTAATGGTTGGTATTCTTTTTAATGTAGAAGTTATTATTACCAAATTCATTATGGCAGATACTGTGGGCAATGCTAACTCGGAATTTTTTTTCACACTTTGTTAGATTTTCCCTAATAGATTAACTGAATCTGTGTTATATAAATCACACCCCACAGAGGAAAAGTACCGGAAGAAAGTGGAGAGACAAGACCGGCGTCCCATATCTCAAACCCTGGAGGAGAAATTTTTGTTATAAGAGACAGTGGTTGTTCCAGTTATCTATTACTGTGCATCAAAGTACTGAAAAGCTTAGTGGGTAAAACAAGAAGTTATAATTATCTCTCAAGGCCCTGCAGGTGGATTGGGCTCAACTGGGCAGTTCTTAACTTGGATTTCTCATGCATTTGTGATCAGATATTGGCTGGGGCTGGAGTCATCTGAAGGCTCGACTGGGCTGGTCATTCAAATGGCTTCTTCATTCATTATTTCTCGGCCTCTTTCTCTTTCTCTGTGTGGCATCTCGTTCTCCAGGGCCGGTCCACGTGGCTTATAGCCTTCTTACTGTGTGGTGGTCTCAGACTAGTAGCACTTCTTACACAGCAACTGGCTTCTAAGACACAGGAAGCAGAAACTGCCAGGTCAGTGCAGGGCTACTCCCACGACTGGCCCAGTGTTGTATTGGTGTGAGGGACACTCTCGTGACTGCCTTATTCTATTGGTGTAAGTAGCCATAGGGCCCGCCTAGATCAACGGGATACAAAGACAGACACACCACTTTTCCATATGGAAGTGGCAAGGTCATACTGCAGAGTGAATGTAGGCTGAGAATATTTTTGTGGCCATCTTTGGGAAGTACACCTGCCATAGCAGAGAAAACAGGGGCAATAAACAATAAGGGGCTTCTCTTTGCAGTTCTGCTCTGTTTTTTTTTTTTTTTTAACTATTATTTATTTTTATTTTTGGCTGCACCGTGCAGCATGTGGGATCTTAGTTCCCCAACCAGGGATCGAACCCGTGGGCCCTGCAGTGGAAACGTGGAGTCCCAACCACTGGACCTCTAGGGAATTCCCTGCTTTGTTTTTATCACAGAAAAAAATGCTTATAATGTGAGGTGCTGGGGTTGAGAAATCTACAAACCCAGCCTGTCCATTCTATTATTGAGAGACTTTAAGGTAAATTAAATGTTTCTAAAATCTAGTGCTTTTAAATGGAAATGATACTTGGTGTGCCAAAAGATTGCACGAAAACAGCTCAAATAAAAAACAAAATGTAATGCACAAATTTTTAAAGTTACAAGAATGATTCTTATATTGCTATAATAATGCTCTGTATAAAACTTTTCTGGCCTTTGGATGTTTTACTTTTCTGAGTGATAAGTTGACACTACTTAATGTTTTGTTCCTGATAGCATTTATTACTGCAATAATGTTAATTTTAAAAATTGGGTATTTTTAAACTACAAATATTTGAATTTCTCATTTAAAACAATATTTTATGGTACATAGAGTTTGTCCTATCAAAATTTCTTGTTGATTTAGTTTGCAGACAATTTAAAAAATGCTGATGTGCTAGAAAAACCAGAAGGGTAATGGAAGAACTAAGATTTTAATTACATAATTATGTTAACATTGTAAAGTGCCTTAAAATAACAATTAAAGTAGAACGTGTACATCTTATTTTAAGCCCCTTAAATTTAGTCAGTTAAGAAGCTTCTCAAAATATGATTGTTACAAGAATCATCATAAAGGAATTGAAATTTTTATAATCCTATGAGCACTTCAATTTCCTTCTAAATACTGCCTGCTCTTTTTCTTTTTAAAAAATAAATATTTAAAGGTCATCTTTTGTTCTGTTTGTTTTTATGGAAACCCCTGGGGTTTTTTGTTTGTTTGTTTGTTTGCAAAGTATACCTGTACAAGTTGTACTTTATACGTCTTTTGCCTCTAAGACCCCCTTTTTTCACTCTTTCTCTTCATTTCATCTGGAAAATTAAGTCGGCTCCCTTTTAGAATTTTGCGAAGCCAAAGAATACTGTTAAGTAGTTGATAAACAGAAATCCCACCCCAGATACAGCTGTTGAACTGTGTGACGTCACTTATTTTCCTCTGGACACTGGGACACTTTGGGGGTACACTACCTGCAACCCCTGTGACTAGCCTGGGGAAGTTATGAGGACCGCTGCATACACAAAGCTCCTGTACAAATGTTAAAACAGTAAAATATATATTTACTACTGTCGTGTTTCTCTTCCCCATGAAATACGTGTTCTTTATTCTCATTAGTTTTTCACCTCTCCATTTTCCTGTCCCCAGCCTATCAAATGTTTCAACATCTACGAATGCTTTTACTGCAGCACTCATTGCTCTCACTCGCAGTCTTGCCTTTGTATCTGGGTCAGAGAGCAGGAAACTTATTCATATTTGTGTTACCCATACTTGGCACAGTGCCTGGCACGTAGCAGGTACTTATTCAAAGTCTTTAAACCTTTCAAATGTTCAATTTGGACCTTAAATTGTGCACTTTACAATGTTGAACTGTCAAATCATCCAAAACTCATCTTTTCATAAAATAGAGAAAGCATTAATTATCTATATCAAAGAATGAATGAGGGGATTTGAGACAGATCATGGGAGTATTAACCGTTTCTCTCTCAGCCATCCTTTGACGATCAGTGAATGCGATACTGGGTCTCAAGGTCACTCCAGTGCCTAGGAGCAATATTTGAATGTCTACTTAGAAGAACTGAGAACTTGGAGGATTACTGAGCTTGGGGGCTGGAGCATGGGATCACAGAAGACATTCACTGCTCGACCTGGGATTCAGAATATGTTACAAGAACAGGGTAAAAACCCACTTGCTGCAACTAGAGGACATGAAGAAAGAAAACTAGTAGCCAAGGCTACTCCAAGTTGAGTTTCCTGATCACTGACCCCAGACTCTTTAAATTCGTCCAGCAGGAGACATCAGTGGTCACTCGGTGGGACGTGGAGGTGAGCCTGTTCGGGGACTGGCTCCATGGGAGTTGGTGGGATGAAGGATGAAGGGTGCTGAACGTCCACTTACCCTTGTGATGCTCCACCTTCGTATCTCTCATCCAGGCTGAACTATTGCTATTCGCTGGACCAGGCAAGATGCTAAAACTTACAGGCCTCTCCTCTGTTCAACAAACAATTCTTACATACCTATCTCATGCCAGGCAGTGTGCTGGGGATTAAAGTCTTTGCTTTCAAGGGTCCTTTTCATTAGTGATCCTTCACTGAAGGCTGCCTACTTTTCTTCTTCTTGGTAGTTTGGGGCTGGGCTAGATGGGGCTAATGAAGTGAAACCTTAGGTTAACTCTCTAGAAATCAGTTAGATCTAATCTGTTTTGTTAACAAAGAATTATGCCTCTACCCTAGCCAGTCATCTCAAAAATGTGCTATGAGTCAGTTGGGCTTCCTGGTGTGGAGAGTATGGGTGAGTCACCCCATCTACCACCACCATTAGAAAAATCGAAAACCTTACTCTTTGGCAGTGGGGGAGCAATGGCAGCATCTTTGCAGGTGAATGAAGACCAGGATGTCACATTGTACCAAACACTTGTCTTCTTGGAACAATCTTATATATATATATGTATATGTACATATATGTATATTTGTGTACATACATGCATGTACACATATATACATACATCCATATATGTGTGTGTATGTATATTTAATTTGCCTTGAAGCCTTTCAGTAATAGGATTGACAGGTTGGGATGATAGATTTCTTAGTCCTGGCACCTTACCTTATAAACACTTTTTTTCTGTGATAAAAACAGAACAGAGGAGCTGCAAAGAGAAGCCCCCTTATTGTTCATTGTCCCGAAGTTTTCACTGCTATGGCAGGTGTACTTTTCAAAACGGGCCAGAAAAAAAATCTCAGTCTAAATTCATTCTGCAGTATGACTTTGCCACTCCCACATCAAAACGTAGTGTCTATCTTTGTACACTCTTTGATAGATGGGGTTGGTGTGTATGTGTATGGTACTTGGTGTGTCAAGATATGTAGAGAGAGATATATATAGATATATACTGATGTCCATATGTGTGTGTGTATGGTACACTGCTATTTACCTATTATATAAATCATTTAATACATGAATTATATATTAATGTATATAATCACAATAAATAATACGCAAACATATTAAATAATAATAGTAAGTTTAACATTGTAAATCAACTATACTTCTATGAAAAAGAAAAAAAATAATAGTAAATCATGGCAATAATATTCTTTAATACTTTTAAGAATGCTATCTTTTCCTTACAGAGTCTTATTATATTAAGAACATAAATTTGCCCACATACCTAGTTTGATATAAAGTAACAGATACCCAGTTGAAACACTGAAGCTCTTATATATGCTTTTTATTAATGTTTTCTTTTGAATTCTTATGACTTTTATATCTTAGCATAAAATGGCTCTTACCTGTGGCATATTTAACACTTAGACATTCATGTATTAGCCAGCTACAAATTCTATAGCTAAGAGAGAATATGTCATCTCTAATGAATTTATTATCTGGAAATATTTTATTTTATTAAACACTTATTCTAAGCTGTCATTCAAGAGTTATCTTGTTTCTCAGTATGAATGACAGCTCTACATAAGCAACTTCTGATTGATACTGTTACTGTTCTAAAGTCCCGATGCAACACAACTGCATCTACTCTGTGCAAGACCTTGTGCTAGGATGGGGGTGGGTTAGAGGGGCACAGTTTCTACCCTTAAGAAGCTTTACATGGATGGAAAGACAAACAGGTATATAACTAGCTAGAGTTCAGGACAGACTGTGGAACTTCATCTAAGAATTATAAGCAAAGTGATGGATAAATGCAGTGGAGAGTTATTTATTCTCTCTTTGGGCTTGGATGAAACCTTCACAATGAAGCTGGTGGCTGGGCAGCTCCTTAAAAAACTCTGAGGTGGATGGCTGAGAAGGGGGAGAGAGGCCTTACAGGTCAAGTCGAGAATACACACATTTTCTTGGCCTCATTTTATTCTGATGGGGCAGGCGGCAGGAGGTGAGGGTGTGTTGAGTGGGTGTTGGAGGCGCACTGTAGGGCTGGATATATAGAGTCTGTGATGCCTGCAGTGTTCTCACTCGGAATACCAAGAGGCTGAGATTAGTACATCTGATTTAGATTGAGCATGTTTTGCAAAATAGCATAAATCCCAGCTGAACATAATTATTGTTCCTGCCCTGGGTCTTAATGTTTTTCTTCCATATTCCAAAACAGAAAGGCCAAAGGGTGATTAGGCTGATGAAAACATTTATTAAAATGTTTTCGGAAACACCTAGAATTTGAGGGTTAATCCCTTTCTGCTTGGTTAATCTCATCTCTTTTTAAAATAAAGACAAAGCCGTTTCTGTTATTGAAAGCTAAAGGAATGGTGACTTTGGTTCTGCTTTTTCAATCTTCTCTTCACTTTATCATAAAGCAAATTCTAAAATATGCATCCGTTTCATGCTCTCACTTTCTGCAATCTTGTTATAAATGCTTCTCTCTGAATTAATTCTGATATAATTGTTCACTGCATAATGCTGAATTTTCATAATATATGAGCTGCAATATCAAAGCACAAAAATGATACTAATTTAAAAAGGAAACCAGTTTCAATTCTGAAATTTTCCTTGTGGCTTTGTATATCACTTAAGAAGTGGTTCTCAAATTTCAGCTCTTAGAATCTGTTTATGATCTTAAAGATTATCGAAGCGCTCAAAGAATATTTTTAATGAATTTATATTTATCAATAGTTACTGATATAGAAATTATGTTGGAAAAAGTTTTAAAATATTTATTCTTTTTTTTTGGCCACATGGCTTGTGGGATCTTATTTCCCTGACCAGGGATTGAACCCAGGCCCTCAGCAGTGAAAGCACCAAGCACTGGACTGCCAGGGAATTCCCAGAAATATTTATTCCTTTAAAAACAACAATTTAAAACCTATCACATGTTAACACAAATACAATATATTTATAAAAAATGACAATTTCCAAAACAAAAAAAGTCAGTGAGAAGAGTGGCATTGTTTTACCTTTTTGCAATTTTTTTTTTTTTTTTTGGCCACATCCTGAGGCTTGTGGGGATCTTCAGTCCCCCAACCAGGGACTGAACCTGAGGCAGTGAAAGCGTCAAGTCCCAACCACTGGACCACCAGGGAATTCCCTCTTTTTGAAAATTTAAAAAGTACTGGGCTAATAGAACACAGCTACATTCTCAGGTGCTTCTATATTCAATCTGTTGTTATATCACATGTCATGTAGCCTCTAGAAAATTTCTCTGAACACTCATGAGAGGATGAGAGTGAAAAATCCAAACAGCATCTTAGTATTATTATGAAAATAATTTTGACCTCACAGACCCACTGAAAGTGTTTAGGGTCCCCAGATCTCACTTTGAGAGCCACTGACTTAGGACAATATTTATTCAGTGTTAATTATGGGTGAAGATAAATAAAACCCATAATTACTTGTGTATAAGTATATAAATCAGGTAGAAATAATGACGTACATATGTTTTAGCCTTACCTACACGTAAACAGTCTGTTTTCTGTATTATAAACTGTTGGTTCTACTGTCTGACAAATTATTCTTACAAGATACATGGGTTGATATAAACATCTAGAAAAACATGGTCTTATCATGTCAGTCTACATGAAAAATAACCACAGGTTTTGAATCACATGGAATTATAAATCTCATTCTGAAATTTTTTTAAAAGAAATTTTGGTTTTGATAAATTATAGATTTAGAGGAAGTTGCCCCCCACCACAGCCCAAAAAATGTACAGGGAAGTCCTGAGTATCCTTTAGCTAGTTCCCTCAATGACAATACCTTCCAAAACTATAGTACAAGGGGAAAACCAGGAAATTGACATTGGTACAACCCACAGAGTTTATTTGGATTTCACTAGTATTTTGTGTATGTGTGTGTTTCTGTGCAATTCCATCCCATGTTAGATTGTGACACTATCACAGTCAAGATAAAGAACTGTTCCATCACCACAAGGCTCCCGGTTCTATCTTTGTATAGCCACATTTACTTACTCCCCTCAACTTCCTCCCCACATACTAACTCCTTGAAACTGCTAATGTAGCATCTCTATAATTTTATCAATTCAAGAGCGTTATATAAATGGAATCACACAGAATGCAACCTTCACTCAGCAGGATACCCTTGAGATCCATCCAAGTTGCATGCGTATCAATAACATGTTCCTATTTCTTGTTACATAGTATATAATCTGGTATTGGAAGTACCATTGTTTGCAGAGCCAACCATTCCTCTGCTGTTGGGCATTTGGACCATTTCCAGTTTGGGGCTATTATAAATAAAGATGCTATGACCCTTTATATATGTTTTATTTGAACATAGTTTTCATTTCTCTGAGATAAATGCCCAAGTACAACTGCTGGGTTATATGGTAACTACATGTTCAGTTTTATAAGAAACTTCCAAACTATTTTCCAGAGGGCTGTACCATTTTATATTTCCACCAGAAACGTCTGAATTATCCTGTTTCTCTGCATCCATTTGGTGTTATTTTTATGTTAGCTAGCTGATAGGTATATAATATCTCATTGTGGTTTTAATTTGCATGTCCCTAATGGTTGATGTAGAATACATTAAATGTGCTTACTTGCCATCTATATATCTTCTCCAGTGCAATGCCCATTTTTCAACTGGATTTTTTAAATTGAGTTTTGAGAGTTCTTTATATATTCCAGATACTAGTCCTCTGTTAGACATATGGCTTGCAAACATTTTCTCTAAGTCCGTATCTTGTATTTTCATCCTCTTTGAGGATTAACCCATAATTTGGATGAGGTCTAATTTATCATTTTTTCCTTTTATGTATTTCATTGTCAACTCTAAAAACTATTCACCTAGCCCCTGCCCACCCTTCCCAATTTTTTCCTAAAAATTTTATAGTTTCACATTTTACAGTTAAGTCGATGATCCATTTTGAATTAATTTTCATATAAGGTATGAGATTTACATTAAGGTGTTTGTTTATATGTTTGTTTTGTTCTGTTTTTGTATTTATTTTGCCTATGGATGTCCAACTGTTATAGCAGCCATTATTGAAAAAGTCGAAATCCTCTGTTAAATTGCTTTGGCATCTTTGTCAAAAGCCAGCTGGGCATATTTTTTGGTTCTCTATTCTGTTCCATTGGTCTGTGTATCCCTCTGCTAATATCATGCTGTTTTATTACTGTAGTTATAGAATAAGACAACACTGGGAAGACTGGTTCCTCCCACTTTGTTTCTAAAATTGTTTTAGCTATTCTAGATCCTAGTCATAAACTTCTCTGTGTCTACAAAAGCTGTGCTAGGATTTTGATAGGTATTTCATTAAACATAGAAATCAATTTGGAGAGAATTGATGTATTTACCATGTTGAGTCTTCCAATCCATGCACATGATATGTCTCTCTGTTTATTTAGGTCTTTAATTTACTTCATCAGTATTTTGTAATTTTCAGTGTACAAGTCCTGTCCATATTTTGTTAGATTTATACGTATTTTATTTTCTTTGGAGCGATTATAAATAGTATTGCGTTTTTAATTTGTTTCCACATTATTGTTTTTAGTATATAGAAATGTAGTTGATTTTTATGTGTTGTTTTTGTCATGCAATCTTGCTGGGCTCACTAATTAGTTCCAGAACATTTTTTGTAGGTTCCCTGTTTTGCTTTTTTTTTTTAAATGTAGATGATCATATCATCTATAAATAGGGATAGTTTTACTTCTTCATTTTAAATTTGTGTGCCTTAATTTCTTTTTCTTGCCATATTGTGCTGGCCAGAATGTCCAGCACTATATTGAATAAGAGTGTGAGAGTGGACATCCTTGCCATGTTCCTGATCTGAAGGGGAAAGCACTTGGTTTTTCACCATTAAGTGTGATGTTATCTGTAGGTTTTTGTAAATGCTCTTTATCAAGTGGAGAAAACCCTTTTGGTTCTTGTTTGATGAGAGTTTTTATCATGAAAGAGTACTGGATGCTTTCAAATGCTTTCCTGTGTTGATTGATATAATCATATGATTTTTCTTTATTCTTTTGATATAGTGGATTACAATTAAGTGATTTTCAAATATTGAATACTGCGAATTATTTTCAGTTGGTTGTGTTAAATAACTCTTCTTATACATTACGGGGTTCAATTTGCTATTATTTTGTTTTGGATTTTTGCATCTAATTTCATGAGATATACCAGTCTCTTGTTTTCTTTTTTTTGTTCCGTATTTGTCTGGTTTTGGTGTCAGGGTAATCCTGGCCTCATAAACTGAGTTGGGAACTGTTCCCTTCTCTTCTATTTTATGAAAGTGACTCTGTAAAATTGGTGTTAATTCTTTAAATGTTCTGAATTGTCTTCTCATTGGTAATTAATTCTCTGTCTCTGTTATCTTTCATGGTTTGAACATAAGCAGTTTAAAAATAGGGATAAAAATCTGTCCCTTTCACATATATACAATGGAATATTACTCAGCCATAAAAAGAAATGAAATTGAGTTATTTGTAGTGAGGTGGATGGACCTAGAGTCTGTCATACAGAGTGAAGTCAGAAAGAGAAAAACAAATAACGTATGTTAATGCATATATATGGAATCTAAAAAAAAACAAATGGTACTGATGAACCTAGTTGCAGGGCAGGAATAAAGATGTAGACATAGAGAATGGACTTGAGGACACGGGGTGGGAGGGGGAAGCTGGGGCAAAGTGAGAGTAGCATTGACATGTATACACTACTGAATGTAAAATAGATAGCTAGTGGGAAGCAGCAGCATAGCACAGGGAGATCAGCTCGGTCCTTTGCGATGACCTAGAGGGGTGGGATAGGGAAGGTGGGAGGGAGGCTCAAGAGGGAGGGGATATGGGGACATATGTATGCATATGGCTGATTCACTTTGGTGTACAACAGAAACTAACACAGTATTGTGAAGCAATTATACTCCAATAAAGATCTATTAAAAATTTTTTGTCCCTTTTATCTTACATGAGATTTTTCTAGAACATGTAGGGATAAAACCCAGTTCTTAAATGCGGTGAGGTCAATGCCTGGATAAATGGTCAATCACTCAGCTGACCTTGCATAACCTGATCTCATGTACTCAGAATGCTTAGGTAAAGCTGTATCTACAGGTATAAATAAGTCAGGAAGTGGATTTAGGAGAACTTTGATTGATACTACCTGCTGTCTACTCTTGCCACATTGCTGGGGTAGCATTTACTTTGCACACTGATAACTAGCCTTACAGCCCAGCTACCGACAGTGAATAAAAAGCAGGAGAGATATTATCCTTTCTTTCTGTTTTCCCACCTGGGAATGTAGAGATGGGAAGGATGGGCTCAAATGCTTGTATATTTTATATATCATATATAAGCTTATCTATCTATCTGTCTATGTATCCATCCATCCACCCACTCATATAGATATCCTTAGATATTATCTAGTTGAAATTTCATGTTTCATAAATAAGGACATCAAAGCTTCTTAACAGGATGTTAAGATTTTAAAAAGAGAACTTCTTGTTGTTATCATTATACCTGATTCTACTGGTTGATGTGAGAAGTAGGAAGAGTCAATTCTCTACCTCTTTCCAAAAGAGAAATTGCTTTTTTTATACATGGCTTTAGAGTGTATTGGGAGCTGTAAGCAGAGGGGTCAAGACACTGATGACTATTACTATTAATATTAAAATTACTGGTTGTTGTTATGCCTGTTAAGCCAATTTTATAGTAACTTTTTTCCCATGTCTGTTTTGCAGAAGAGCCATGGATTACTACAGAAAATATGCAGCTGTCATTCTGGCCACATTGTCTGTGTTTCTGCAAATTCTCTATTCCTTTCCTGATGGAGAGTTTACAATGCAGGGTGTGTGACCAAACTTGGGTTTGCAGTAACAAGAAAGCGCACATTTCTAGATGTACATCAATAACTCCATTAATTACATTTCTACCTCCTTTTCAAATGTGATAAATCTTTGCTGTTGGATATCTATCTAGGCACTTTTAGACTGTGAACATAAAATTAAACTAGGTTCCAAAAATGTACAGTGAAAATGATATCTTACATGTCCATTTAAATAGCAGCCTGTACATTTCCATCTGAAATAGATTCCTGGTTATTCTTTATCCGAGTTTTACAAGCAGAAAGTGCTCCTTATTCAGTCTAGCTAGTTGACTTTTTTTCTGTTTTTTACATGTCTCCCAGAAGATTTGGGAGGATTTTAACATTGCCTTTGTAGATGAATTTTCAAATCAGTTAACAAGTGAGAAAACAAAACCATTTTATGCAGTAAATTTGTTTTGCTGTACTTTCTGAAAAATCTCATATAGTAGCTGATATAATTCCATCTGCTATGAAATTGTGAGCTACTATTGGTGATGGTTTTTCTCTAGACAAGTGATCATATTTTAACCCCTGTTCCCAAGTGCAGATGCCTGATCTCATATCAGGCTGTGCCACTCACCATGCTTTCTTAATTCTGACACATGCTTTTCTTTGTCAGTATTTGGAGTTGCTATGGGGCAAAAACAATAGCAGATTCTAAATGGGAAAATATTTTGCCTCTGGGCAAAATCCTTCTTTTGGATGACATGGTGTTTTCATCTGTCAAGTTTTGCATTCCCTATAGACATACTATCAGCACTGGAATTGAGAAGTCATACTTAAAGAAACTACTGCTACTGAGATTTCCCATGCATATCTGTAAAAATCGTTTTCCCATGAAAATAACTGTAGTCGGTACAAATAGATATCGTGTCTGAAGATGAACATACAGCCCAAAAGTATTGGGTTGGCCGAAAAGTTTGTCCGGGTTTTCCATGTTACAGAAGAACCCGATGAACTTTTGGGTCAACCCAATATTTATTTATTTATTTAATTTCTTTTGATTTCCAATAGATAAAAAGAATATTTGCTGTCCCATAATAAGGAAAAATGTATAGTTTCTTTTAAAATTATTTTTGGATTATTTTACTCTTTGCCTTTTTTTTTTTCTTTCTTTTTTTCTGGTGATAGGCTGCCCAGAATGCAAGCTAAAGGAAAACAAATACTTCTCCAAGTTGGGTGCCCCAATCTATCAATGCATGGGCTGCTGCTTCTCCAGAGCATACCCCACTCCAGCGAGGTCCAAGAAGACAATGTTGGTCCCAAAGAACATCACCTCAGAAGCCACATGCTGTGTGGCCAAAGCATTTACCAAGGTGAGAACTGAAAGGGCCCCAGAAACTTTCTAACAGTTCAACCAGAGAAATGTCCTCAGAGCACATCCATGGGGTTTAATGCCAGAGGTATCTGATGACCCATGCTTTATTTGTAGAGTGAAGGGCTGCATTTGTCCCCTTTAATCAAAAGAGTCAGCAACCTTGTGGGCACAGGCTGGATTTATTCTGAATGAAGAGAGTAGGGGTAGAGGTGATGAGGGGCAGGTTGGGAGAGAGTATAGAATACTTAGTGCAAACCTAAGCTTTCAGAGTGAAAATATCAGCTGAAAAGGAGAAGATGCAAATATAGCAAGCATCTATTTAATTCAGCTGGCTAGAGTCCATTTTATTTAACAGTTTTCAGTTTTGCCCACCTATCTATCTATCTATATCTGTCATCTTTTCCCCTTCCTCCTTAGGCTACAGTGATGGGAAATGCCAGAGTGGAGAATCACACTGAGTGCCACTGCAGTACTTGTTATTATCACAAATCTTAAAGAGTTTGCAAAGGGCCGTGTTGATGACTGCTGATTTCCTGGAGTGGAACATTAATTTGTTCAGTGTTTATGACTTTGCAAGATAAAACCCTCCTTTTCCTGACCGTACCATGTTTTACACGCTTTAAGAATATACTGCAGCTTTATTGCCTTTCTCTTTATCCTACAGTATAATCGGCAGTCTTGTTCTTTTCATTTGGAATGAAATACAGCATTTAGCATGACCATAAAAAGCTGGTTCCGCTAGAAATAAAGTCTTTTAAATCATCATTCTACCACTGAATTCTAATTTTTTCTGAAAAGTTTCAAGCCAGTTACTTTTTTTTTTTTTACATCTTTATTGGAGTATAATTGCTTTACAATGGTGTGTTAGTTTCTGCTATATAACAAAGTGAATCAGTTATACATATACATATGTTCCCATATCTCTTCCCTCTTGCGTCTCCCTCCCTCCCACCCTCCATATCCCACCCCTCTAGGTGGTCACAAACCACCGAGCTGACCTCCCTGTGCTATGTGGCTTCTTCCCACTAGCTATCTATTTTACGTTTGGTGGTGTATATATGTCCATGCCACTCTCTCACTTTGTCACAGCTTACCCTTCCCCCTCCCCATATCCTCAAGTCCATGCTCTAGTAGGTCTGTGTCTTTATTCCTGTCTTACCCTTAGGTTCTTCATGACATTTTTTTTTCTTAAATTCCATATATATGTGTTAGCATACGGTATTTGTCTTTCTCTTTCTGACTTACTTCACTCTGTATGACAGACTCTAGGTCTATCCACCTCATTACAAATAACTCAATTTCGTTTCTTTTTATAAGCAAGTTACTTTTAATAGGATTAATGGGAGGGAGGGAGCCAGTGTGGGCCCCTACATACTCAGTGACCCGACACTGGAGAATCTTGTTCCCACCAAGCCTTCCAGAGCAAGTGGTGAGTCCTTCGGCCAGTGTGCTAGTTATGAGACAATCCATTGGGGCGAAGGAAGAAAATATAACTTCTATTTCTATTCATTTTCACATTAGCCCTTTAGATGACCATTTGGATGAGTTTTATAGAAGTACAGATGCATTAGTATATCCACCGGCTTATGCCTGACCAAAAAAAAAAAAAAAAAATGCATCTTATTAGTTCCTGGCAGCCAGGTTGTAACCAAACAGAGGCTAAGGTAAGGATATCATCCTCTTACATTCCATGTCCAGATCCTGATGGGAATGAACAAATGACGAGCAAAGAATTCACTGAGCACTCACTGTGGGCTAGGAGGAACAAACACTTTCACTTAGCTCTGTCCAAATGCTTAAGAGTAGTGCCATGCTTCAAAGTCACATTTATTGAGCATTTATACTTATAAACAGAGATAGATCATGGTTCTTACCCATTAAATTAGATTAGCTATGGTAGAGATCAAAGCCACCCAAAATTTCAACTCCTAAGGGAGCCTGAAATTAAAAAAAAAAAAAATTCACACTGGTCACAGATAACACTTTCAAAAAAAAAAATTCACTCATCACCAATTTGTCAGATTCCATTTCTGAATGAAAACCCAGTTTCTAACAGGTAGGTAAACACACCAGGTGTCTGGGTGAAAAATTTAAATGAGTGCATGTATTTTTAAAGAAACACTGAAATGCACACACATTACTTAACTTGTTCATTCATTTATTTATTATACACTTATTTAATGTCTAGTAAGTGCTGGCCCATGATTAGATCATGGAGATTCAGAGATATCAGGATTCTCTGGAAGATAAGATTGAGAAAAGCTAATACAGCTTAATTTGAGAAAACAATGGTGCTGATTCATGGGCTCATTCAAACATTTAATAGATATTCATTGAGAATCTACTATGTGTCAGGTCTTGAGAGCTTGTTTGGAGGATTCAGCAGGAGAAGAAAGCTAGCAATACACCCTTGACTGGAGTGCCCTTGTCCATCTGGGATCATCCTATTTCACAGAGGGGATGGAAGAAGTAATGAGAGAGGAAGGGGACAGCCCCATGGTCATTCAGATCAGCCTAATCAACCCTGGTGAGCACTAGAATAAGACACGGATGCTGCTCTGAAGCAATCCACAGTCCGGTAGGGAAGAGAGACACGGGCAAAGAATTAAGATCTAGTGAGATTATGCTATGTGAAAGGTATGGATTTTGGTGACATTTAGGGAGGAATGGTTAACTTGGTCTACTGGGGTTCATCATGGAGAGCTTCACAGGAAAGGTGATACTTGAGTCTAGAAGATAAGCAGATTGATGGGGGAGGGGTTCAGCCTACTTTGAGGAAACAGCATAGGTAAATGTCCTGAGATGGGAACCAGTATGATGGTCATAGAATGACAAGAAGTTCAGTGTGCCTGGACTTCAGGGGCTGGTTGGAGGGCTGGAGCTCCAGAGACAAACGGACAACTGTCAACTAGGCATGCGAATAACATGCAAAGAAATGTACGTTCCAGCTAGGACCTTCCTTTCTCAAACTAGGGGGCCGGAGGGTTCCTGAAGCCACAGGATTAAACATGCACCTTTCTGTAGGATCAACCTTGCTTGAAGATTTGGGGACATGTTATTTTAATTTCAAAACAAAAACAGATACATTATAGAGTAGAATGCAAAACTGCCAAAATGGGGTTAAAAATTGCGACTTAAAAAGAAACTTCACATTGTGGGCGGGGACTTCTGCATCCTGCTCTTCTGACCCGTCCCAAGCCTCCTGGGAGCTGGTTCACTCTTCTTGCATTAGGAGTTCTTAAGCAGAGGAGTTTGAGAAGTGCTATTAAAGGAATAATAGGCTCTGCTTTGCCCTTTAGAAAAATCATTCTGGCAGCAGGTAAAGGGTGATTTGAGAAGGGGAGAGACCAGTCACAGGATCATGAGTTGGGGCCTTTGCAGAACTGTCTTGGCAAGAGATGGTGGTGGCCTACTGGCGGTGAGGGTGAGGGTAAGAGGAGGGGACAGATTTGGGAGGAATTGGGAGAAAATGAAGAAATGATTGTGGGTGTGACTCCTGGCTTCTTGGGTCGCTGATGGATAACTGTGCCGCAAACTGGGAAATGGAATAGGTCTGTGTGGGAGCAGATGGGGGAAATGACAGTTCAGTTTGGGACATGCCGACTCGAGGTGTCTAAGGGGTACCGGGTGAGCGTGTCTAATAGGCAGCGTGTACAGCGATAGACACGGAGCTTAGGAAAGGCCTCCAGCCCGGAGGAGTGGGCTCGAGGGTCACCTGTGCTCAGTGGTATCAACCCCACAGAGGTGGCTAGGATTGCTCACGAGGGCGTGAGGGTGTGAGGAAGGGAAGATGCTGCACCACCAAGGAGAGATTCTGGACCAGCCTGGCTAAGGAAGCGGCTGTTACGTCTTTGGGGACAGTCAATTAGAAAGCTGTGACAGGAGCCCTCTGGAGAAAAGACGATCATCTCAGATGGATAAGCAGCAAGGGGGCAGAGAGGCAGGCATGGAGGCTGGAAATTTTGTTTCAAACCCATCTGAAAAATGCCAAAAATTGGTACTAAGGGAAGATGGTCACGTTTGAGGGGCGCTTCTTTCAAGAAAACCTCTCCACGATTCACCTCAGCCAGAGGGAGCTGCCCCAAATTCTCCCGTGTGAGATTCTTTCCTTATGTCTAAAACACAGGATCCCAGGCACCTTTTTCTTGAATGGCAACACGTCTGACTGAGGCAACACAGCTGACCATTAACATCATTAACAATGCCATTAACAAGATGAGTTAAACAGGCCACCAGGTCTGTCTGCAGGTCCTGGATCCTGTTTACCAGGGAGGGATGGGTGTCAGGCAGGACGATCAAGGGATAAAACAAAGAAACAAGACGTCTACTACTTTGTAGTTGTGTCGAGAACTGACCACGAGCAGAAACTCCTACGTGATTACAGGGGTGTCGCTGTGGACCAGGGCTCAAGGAGGAGACCAGTAAAACAGGGATGGCTCCTGTCTGCCTCCTGGGAGTTAGGGAAAAGGGCAGGAAAAGATGGGAGGGAAAGAGATAGAGGGGAGGGAAGAGAAAGAAGAATGAGGAGGGTATAAAAAGTTGCAGAAGGAAAAATGTGTGAGGGGGAGGCAAGAGGGGCAATAAGGGCCACTGGAGGTGTCTGTGACCTCAGACATGGCTGAACTGGATTAAAGCAGAAAGGAAAAGCCATAATTCTACTCACTTCCACTTCTTCCCCCAACTTCTGTCAGAATTTAAGTAAGCACCCATAGTCAAGACCTCTAGCCTACATAAAGCCTTTATGTGAATGGAAAAAGATGACTCTGGGCAGGCAGAGCATCATTTTTTTTTTAAATTGAAGTATATTTGATTTACGATGTTGTGTTAATTTCAGGTGTACAGCAAAGTGATTCAGATATATGTATGCATACACATTCTTTTTCAGATTCTTTTCCCTTATAGGTTATTACAAAATATTGAGTATAGGTCCCTGTGCTATACAGTAGGTCCTTGTTGGTTATCTATTTTATATACAGTAGTATGTATATTTAATCCCAAGCTCCTAATTTATCCCCCCACCCCTTCCCCCTCTGTTTGCTTTCTATGTCTGTTCTGTTTCTATTTTGTAAATAAGTTCATTTGTATCGTTTTCTAAGATTCCACGTATAAGTGATATCATATGGTATTTGTCTTTCTCTGTCTGACTTACTTCGCTTAGTATGGTAAATCTCTAGGTCCATCTATGTTACTGCAAATGGCATTATTTCATTCTTTTTTATGGCTGAGTAATATTCCATTGTGTATATGAACCACATCATCTTTATCCATTATCTGTAGATGGGTATTTAGGTTGCTTCCATGTCTTGACTATTGTAAATAGTGCTGCTATGAACATTGGGGTGCGTGTGTCTTTTCAACTTAGACTTTTCTACAGCAATATATCCAAGCAGACCATCTTGAGTGAATGGCTTCATAATTAAATGACATAGGAAAGTGGATGTCAGGCCGACCTTACCCTCTGGCTGGGCACCTTTGTGCAGTGCACACACTGTGCAATCTTACATGGCAGCTCTGCCCATAATCTCATCATCCTACTATGACCATTGTTGCCTTTTGGAGAGATAATGTCTTAAATTGGCGAGAATCTCAGTTGACATCTAAGATTCCAAATATTGATGTCTTCATTATCCTTATACGGCTAAGAAACTTCTGGAGAAAATATTGCCTCAAATTCTTGCCATCTATGGAGAAACTAGAATTGTCCATAACCTGGTCCAATAGTTTGGTAAAACCAACGAATCCATATGTAAATGACCATGAAGCTG